CCGCTCGATGCTCCTTTCGAATTGCATCTTCCGTATGGGCGGCGCGGCGGCGCTGCTCTCGAACCGCCGCGCCGACGCCGGCCGCGCCAAGTACCGGTTGCTGCACACCGTGCGGACGCACAAGGGCGCCACCGACGAGTGCTTCAACTGCGTGTACCAGCGCGAGGACGAGGACGGGAAGGTCGGGGTGTCGCTGGCGCGGGAGCTCATGGCGGTGGCCGGCGACGCGCTCAAGACCAACATCACCACGCTGGGGCCCCTCGTCCTCCCGCTCACCGAGCAGCTCAAGTTCCTCAAGTCCCTGATGATGCGCCGCGTGTTCCGCGTCAAGGGCGTGCGCCCCTACATCCCGGACTTCCGCCGCGCGTTCGAGCACTTCTGCGTGCACGCCGGCGGCCGCGCCGTGCTGGAGGAGGTGCAGCGCAGCCTCAGCCTGGAGGACAGGGACATGGAGCCGAGCAAGTGCTCGCTGCACCGGTTCGGCAACACCAGCAGCAGCTCGCTGTGGTACGAGCTGGCGTACGCCGAGGCCAAGGGCCGCGTCCAGCGCGGCAACCGCGTGTGGCAGATCGGCTTCGGCTCGGGGTTCAAGTGCAACAGCGCGGTCTGGCGCGCGCTCCGCGACGTGCCGGCCGTGTCGCCGCCGCCGAAGGGGAAGAAGAGCTGCAACCCCTGGGTGGACTGCGTCGCCAAGTACCCGCCCAAGGCGTACGTTTGACGGTTACGTTTTCGTGACCTCGCACAAATTGTATGATTCATTTCTCCTCACCAAAACACACAAAAAAAAGAGGGCATATGCTGGGGAAGACTTTTTTTTTTTGTCGTTTTTTCTTCTTCGCATAGGTTTGCTGTAGACATTGCCGGTTATTGGAATTCAGGGATTTATACGGCGAATTGAATTCCAAAAGCTAGCAGTGCCATTCTTTTCAGTTTTTGTACTAGCAGCATTTGTTTTACACATCCTGGCCTTCTAGAAGTTGGGGGGAAACAGAATGGAGGACATCACAACATGCCATACTACATATGACTAGAGAACAATATTGCCAAGTGTAAATTATAAACGAGAAATCAATGTTACACGTTGTTTGTGTAAGATTCTGAATTTATGTTCAATGCTAGTAGGTATCAGATTAATTGTCTATGCAACACTACATCCAGCTACTTGAATCACGGTCGTTTGATGGTTACACGTGGTTATGGTTACACGTGGTTACCGTGAGGTATACCATGGTTTTAAAAACGGAGAATGATACTGTACGGGACAATCGTGATAACTGTACGGTTTCGTAAACTGAAATTAGATAAGAAATGCCTGAGATTTGGTGATCATGCAGCCAGATAAGGACGAATTAGGAGGGTGTGCGTGCGTGCTAATCGGTGTAAACGTGCAAGGAAGGTTCACGAGGGAAATCCGTATTAAAGCATTATTTTGGTTTATGTTCTCGTTTGATATAAACACGAACAGTTCAGGCTTGCATATGCATGTGCTTGATTCATGTTAGGTGGTGGTAGCTTGAGTTCGATTGACTTGCTAATTAGTTTGGCTATCTGTAGCTCACCAAATTGCTTGCAAGGTGCAGCGTCTAATCCATTTTGCATGACTATAACACAGCGTTCGTCTGACTTTCTGCATGAGAAGCATGACAACTGTGCAACCATGATTACTTGAATAGTGTTTGTATATATACTCTATAAAAACAAGAAGAAATTAAAGGCACTGTTTCGGCACTATGACAATTCAGTTTGAACACCATGGCTATCAGGCTATCTGATCAACAGTTCAACATAGTACAACAGTACATAAACTGGTCTAAAAACACACAGTACAGGAGTTAAACGAAGAATTAAATTTGATTAACTAAAGTTTTAGAGATCCAACTTTTTTGCGCATGTTTTTATAGTCCTGGGCAACTTTACAACCACACTAACTGATCTATTTATTGGAACAGATATATAGCAGCAAGGTTGCGATCTCTGTGAACTTGAATTTTATTTATTTATTGCAGCATTTGATCCTCTCCATGATTCTGGGCCTATCAAATATCAATTCAAAACCTGTTGCATGCATATATCTGTCAGAATTACAGATTAATCAGAAAGCTACGAAATCCATATTAACCTACATCCTGTAAGGTCATCAAGATAACGGACAAAATAGAACCATGCTAATATACACCTGACCCTGAAAAATATCTCTTTTTTAAGTGAGCGAAGCACGTGGCGCCGTCGTTGACAACGTACTACCTCCAGTCTCGATCCAGCGACAATCAGACACAGAAATCGCCGTTAGCCTCATTCATGACTAAAGTTAACCATCAACCGCAAACGGCGAAAATGAGAAAGGACACGGACGTTTTCAAAGTCAGAACAGTGAGAAAGGTGACCGAATTTAACATGCCTCTAACTCCCAACCATATCCACTTTCTCCATAAACGCATGACAAGATCAAAACGATGGCAGGCCATCCTTCAATGGTTTTTTTTTTTTTGGTTGTTGTTGTTCGAAAGTTCTGGCAGGTTATATATCCTTCTCCGCTGCCTGATTGGCTGGTTTGGACCCAGAGTCCAGACGAGTCTAAACGCGACGTTACGTCCTGACCGTGCCACGGCACCAAACGGCGCCGGTGAGATCGCGGCATTCATTGGGCGGCGGCCGCGGCTTCGTGTGAGGTGTGACGGCTAGCCACGGGCGATTGCAAATTGGCGGGGGCGACGCCGCCGGTCGGCCGCGCCAGCCACCCAACCAACCTTGACGTTGCCGGGTGCACCGGTGCAGCCAGCGACGCCAGATTTGCGATTTTTTTTTCTATCTCGTGGTGCGCGTGTGCCGTGTGCCTATTGTGCTCTATGTTCGTTCGGCTCGCGACTGATGTCCGTTCTGTGTGCTGTTTTTTCCAGCCTAGCCTACGCAGGGACTTTTCTCGATCGGCGCACGTTATACGGTGTTGGGGCCAAGCCCAATCTGATTCCCTGAGGACCTTGCCTACCTGGGAATAAGTTCATTTGAGATCCCTTAACTTTACACCGAGTTTCTTCGTCCTTAATCACAATACCACATACAACAAATCCCTCAACTATTAAAACCGGTGCATACGAGGTCCCTCGGTGGTTTAGATGGTGGTTTTAGCTGACACGACGCCTACGTGACTGGTTTGACTTGGTCCTCGCCCTACTTGACGGTGATTGGCACGGGAAGTAAAATACAACAAGTAAAAATAAGAAGTGTGGAGCCAGCATGTCAATCAGACAAAAGAAAAAAAAAATGGATCCCGCCATTCTTTCTATCTCCAGTTCTCCATCGCACCATCGTCTTTCTCCCTTATCCTTCCCGACCATCCTTAATTCTTCTTTGAGCTATCTCGCTGGCCGACGAGCACGCACGGAGAGGGTGAAGGGCGGGGAAGCCAACGAGCGGGACGGGAGGCCAGCGAGCGTGCATGGAAAGGGAGTAGTAGGGTTGTCCGACGAGCTTGCACGGAGAGGGGGAGGTAGGTGAGCTTGCACGGAGAGGGAGGAGACTGGGAGGCCTTGGCCCATCGATCTCTCTATCCTGTTGGCCTCAAATTCCCGCGTCTTCACCTGCCACGCCGCCCGTAGTCTCCATCCCCACAACAGCAACAACGTCGGCGTCCGTCCTACTGCTTCTGCGCACCCTCAGTGAGCACCCATGGGCACATCCTCTTTCCCATCTCTCCCGAGCACAGCCGCGGTGGCGAGACGGGAACGAAGGTCCCTATACCTACCTCCTCGCGGCAATCGAGTTTGGTGACATCGCGGTCGTCGCCTAGCTCCTCACCGCCGACCACCGGGCACCGCCCCGCTGGATACTTGGAGTCCTGGACAGAGGCCGCCGCCTTGCTAGAGTCTTGGACAGAGATGGAGAAGAGGGTGAGAGAAGATGAAGATGAAGTTGTATCACTGACATATGGGCCCCACTTTATTTAATTAATTTTTAGTTTACTTGACATGTGAGCCTCACAATTTTTTTCCTGGATCAAACTACCACGTAGGACAAAGATCTAGTCAATCCAGCCACGTAGGCGCTATGTCAGCCGAAACCGTTGAGGGACCTCGTTTACACTGGTTTTGACAGTTGAGGAACCCGTTATATCTGGTATTGCGGTGCAGGGATGAAAATTGAACTCGGGTAAAGTTAAGGGACCTCAAATGAACTTATTCGGCCTACCTGAGCGTGTGAAATTTGCTGGCCCTGTTATAAGACCCACAAGATTGTTTATTTTCTTTTGCTTCTCTTGAAGTACGTCACGTTTCCACTTGGTACTTTCAGAGTTCATCCAGCGTTTGCCTTTAGAAGATCGATGCAACTCGTCCAACTTCGGTGGAGTGGTTCGGTGGAAATATGAAGATTTTAATAAATAAATAAATAAAATGAAGTTGACCTGTCACCTGTATGAGAGTCCATGTTGTATTGCGAATAGGAATTTGAGGAAACAATAATTTCTGACGTGGCAAAAAAAAATGGCACATAGGTTGTGCACGATAGCCATATTAGGCTATCAGTACATTACACTGACTCGAAGTACCGTGCATACATATGTGACTTTCAGTCACGGCATCGATCAACTTCAGGTTCAATTGTTCAAAACTGGCAGAAAGAACGAGAACTGATCATTTATAGGCCTACACAAACGAATCGGCTGTGTGCATCTTAGTTATGCAGAGGCCGGAAGTGTTCTCAGAATAATTGTATTATCTCGATATAATTGACTGAGTTCGATAAAAGCTTCCATTATCTAAAAAACAAACGCGTAAACCAAAACTGCCGGTTGCCATGTTTAATTTGTCCACGCTAAGCTTGTCAGACATAACAAGACTCTTTTCTCGCCTTGTTATTTCCTAATCCCCCACTGACACATTGGAGCTGGTGGCCTCAACCACTCTGATTCAACGCGCGTGTTGCCTTTACACTCTCAGCACGTACTACCACTCCATTCCCAAGCCCCCCTATAAAACGCAACGCACCATCTCATGCACAATCACACAAAGCCCAATCAGAAATCACAAAGCACAACAAAACCTCATTGCATCTAGCTAGCTTTTCTGTCTCCTGAATTTCTGATCAGCCAGCGAAAACCCAACGCAAGCTTGGTCACCATGGGGTTTGCTTCCTGCGTCGCCGTATGCCTCGCGTTCGCCGTTCTCCTCCCTTGGCACGCCACGGCGACGTCGCCGACGGGCACGATACAGCGGGAGACGAAGCAGCAGATCCTGGCCAGCATCCCGCCGCACTGGCAGGAGAACCCGGTGCTGTTCCTGACGTCGCCGTCGGGCAAGTACACGGCGTACTTCCTGCGCAGCCAGACCGCGCCGGGCGCCGGCGGCCTCGGCGCCGACTTCTGCTACGTGGAGGTGCTCGACACCTCGGATCCCGGCGCGGAGGGGCGGAGCGTGTGGGAGTCGGAGTGCCTGGCGGTGAGCACCGTGAACACGTGCTCGCTCGTGTTCTCGTGGAAAGGGCTGGAGGTGTTCGACGGGAGCAACTCGGTGTGGCACACCCACGACACGCAGTCCGACAGCCAGAACTTCCTCGAGACGCTGGAGCTGGTGGACGAGGGCGACATGCGCATCCTCGACAAGGGCGGCGAGCTGGCGTGGAAGGCCAGCGACGAGCCGCGCGCCGCGCAGCACTGCGGGATGCCAGGCTCCCCCGGTCTCGCCTCGGCGTTCCCGCCGTTCGCCCAGCCGATCGGCCACGGCAGCAGCGACCTGCCGTTCGGGTTCGGGAACGGTGACCACGTCGCTGGCAACGGCATCGGCGGCGGCGCCGTGGCGCAGCCGGAGCTCCCCGTGGCGCCAGTGCCGCAGCCGGAGCTTCCGTTGGCGCCGGTGCCGCAGGAGGCTGATCTCGGTGGCGCCGCCGGGGTGGAGCCGCAGGGACAGGGCGTGGGGCAGACGTCGTTCGGATTCGGCGCCCAGCCGCTGGTGGACAACAGCCCGTACGACAGCGGCGCATGGAAGCAGGTGGGCGGATGCAGCCTCACCGCCATCGGAGTTGGCTTCATTCTCAACGTCGCCATTGCCATGGGCTTGGGCCACTGAAATACTGAATTCGGAGAATTCGAGGGCATATATGGTAGCTTCGGTGCTTGGATGATCACGTACAGTTACGTAGTGGTTTCTTTGAAATTAATGGTGATTTAACTCTGGCACAAGAAGCCAGCGGATGTGCGTGCTGTGTGTACTGGTGTGTTGCAGGTGGTGCTTTTTCTGGGTGTTTGGTTGTATTAGTATCGTGTTTGGAAATTGCAAATTGTAATTGTTTAAACCTTTTCTAATGGTTTTGTTTCATTTTATTAGCTTTCTTGTTGGCTCCTGCTCCACCATTTTGCATAGCAAATTTGCCGTGGATAGCTATGATTGGACATGGAGTAGCTATAAAAATCAATGCATAGCAAATTGTAAAAATTTATGCGCCAAGCTATGCCAGAAAATATGCCTATCATTTCGAGCAAATCTCACACTTAATTAGTATGTGTTATGACAAATTAAATTTTAACGGGTGAATAGCTAATATGGTGTAACGACCCGCCTCTCCCAGGCCGGGCCCACTTACATCTGGTAGCTTTTATAGGTCATAGACTGCCCTCACAGACCAACACATGTCTTTTCTGCAACACTTTGTCCTCACTCGTGTGCACTCGGGAAGAATTTCTCGGTCGGTCACCCATCCCAAATTGCTCCAGGCCAAGCACGCTTAACCCTGGAGTTCTTTGGAGATTGGCTTGAAACCGCTGGCAGCTTTCATAGGTCATAGACTGCCCTCACAGACCAACACATGTCTTTTCTGCAACACTTTGTCCCCACTCGTGTGCACCCGGGAAGAATCGCTTAACCCTAGAGTTCTTTGGAGATTGGCTTCCGGAAAAGAAGTTGCAACTTGTTGATATGAGTATTCTATTAATCTTATTAAGCCCTAGGCCGGGATGTTACATATGGTATCTAAAGTTTCTCTTTGGGCTTAGTTAAGTCCTTGAAGTTTCAAATCATCCAAGCAAGTCCTCCAAATTAATCATTTGGGTTAATATAATCCTTAGACCCATAAAAAGTGCCACGTGAGCATGCCAAGTCATCCTCACATGCAGCGGTATAAATGAAATAACCATTCTACCCTTATATACCACATAGAAAAGAAAGAAAAAAAAGAAGATAAATGTTTTCACACGTGTATGATCGTTTTAGAATTGTCACTTACGATTACCGCTGGCCTGTTATTTTTTTTGTTTGTGTTTTTTCTTTCTTTTCTATATGGTATATAAGGGTAGAATGGTTATTACATTCATACCGCTACATGCGATGATGATTTGGCATGCTCACGTGGCACTTTTTTTGGGTCCAAGGACTATATTAACCCAAATGATTAATTTGGAGGATTTGTTTGGATGATTTGAAACCTCAAGGACTAAACTGAGCCCGAAGCGAAACTTCAGGGATATTCACCCAATTCTAACCCTCGTTACTTACATCATAATCGTTTTTTTCCAAAGCAAGCATTGAAATTCCTTATGAGTAGTACTAGTACTGCTATGGTTGCATCAATGAAGGGTGAGAAGGGAAAAACATATCTAAAATGCTTTGGATTATGAGAATGATAAATACCTTAATAAAAAATTAGAATGCTCGAACGATTAGTAAATTGAAATGGGGGGTACTCCCTCTCTTTCATAATGTAAGACTTTCTGTTATTGTCTACATTCATATAGATGTTTATAAATCTAAACACACATATGGATAATGTTAGAAAGTCTTACATTATAAAACGAAGGAAGTATATTCGTGTATTTTTCTATTGAATAAAAAATTCAACAGATAAGAGCATGATGGGCTTTGCAAAACCTGAGTTCAGGCCCACTTAACCCTGCTCGAGGACATTCGATTTCAAGGGGAATAAGTTCACTTTGATTCCCTTACTGAACTTATTCCATTTCTGGGCAGTATCTGATGGATTGTTGGGCTGATCAGCCCACCGAACCATGAGACTAACATGAAAACGGTGGGACGTACGTAATGCTGCCAGGTGGCGTTTACAGTGCTCCGGCTGGGAGTCATGGCAGGCACATGGTTGCTCTAACTAACCTCCTGTCAATTGTATGTCATGCGTAAACCATGCACCGTGCATCGTTTATGAGCCACCTTGACAGAGTGACAGATGAAGCACACCGTCCACATTAGTGAAGAATCAAATGACCGGCTCTCTCTTCACATGCAGAAAGTAGGTCATGAGATGTTAACACAAAAACCAAACTAACTTGAACAAGTTTTGTTCAAAAGAGTAGAGAAAAATGAGAAGAACTTCGAATGCAATCTTGGAAACACAACTATTGAGCATGACCTTATTTGACAACATTTTTTCAGACGAGCTAAATATGTATCGAACCCGCAGCTCCCTGTCGATGCGTACGTGGAATTTTTTCAAGCAGGACACGGCAGTGGGGAAAAAAATCAGGTGTAACTGCATAACAAATCGATAATTGCTAGAAAAAAAATGCTGAGTCACGGATAGAAATGATTAAAACCGGTACTGACAATGCACTAGCAATCCTGCAAACCGGTCTGAAATTTTTCTTCCCCTCGAGCTGTTTCTCATGAACACTGCCCAGTACCTATCCTGCTCTGTTTCACGAGCTCTGCCCGAAACAATGTCACTCACCATCCTATATATACCCATGCAACCCGGCCTCTTCTTCTCATCCATATTCACCATCGGTTTCTTCCTTAGGTTTCTTCTCCTGAGAGGCAGTAGCAGGGGTTCTTCCCATCATGGGGACTCGCTTAGTTCCTCGGGAAACTGCAGCTCTTCTCGGTGCTTTCGTTGCGCTTCTGGCCGTCAGCTTCGGCGCCGTGGCGGCGCCGGCGCCGCTCGTGGTTGGCTCCATCAAGTGCTTGGATTGCTCTCCCGACGACGTCAAAGCTGAGGATGCGTTCAGAGGTATGTGACTGATATTTCTGCTTGTAATATTGGTTTTTGTTACTGCCATGCAAATTTTGGCCTAAAATAATATTTCCATTGTAAGTGGTTATATAGAATTGTGACAGTCTGGATTTTGAGACAAATTAAATTTAAAACTCTGCATACTGGGTCATTTATTATAATCTTGTAAAGTGTATTTATTACTTAACAAATTAAATTAGTTCAACCCACCCAACTCATATGCTGATATGCGTAGTGACTAGTGAATAGTGGTAGTGGATAAAGCAATATGTGGGCTGAAAGCCTGAAACAAGATGTGAAAAAGGCCCAGTATCTTCTACAAAAGCTAACCGGGTAAATTCTAGTTGAAACGGCCCGCGACTATGAATTTGGTCTCCCCTTTGACTGCTTTTGACATGCGCGCGTTGCAGGGCTTCAAGTAGGCATCATGTGCAACTCCGGCGCCGGCGAGGCCTACGAGACGAAGATGCTCAGCGGCCTCGACGAGAACGGCGGCTTCAGCATCCCGCTCGCCGCCGACCTCCTCCGCGACGACGGCGAGCTGGACAAGGACTGCTTCGCACAGCTCCACAGCGCGCCGGAGACGCCGTGCGCCGGACAGACCCCGCCCAGGATCGCCAAGGCCGGGCCTGGCAACGACACCATCGCCGCCGCCGCCGCTGACGCCGCGCCGACCTACCTCGCGGTCTCCGACGACACGTTATTCTCTCCCGTCGCGTGCAAGTGCGGCAAGTACAAGAAGAAGTTCATGTTCGCCCCGCCGCCGCCGCCGCCGCCCAGGCCACCGGCCCCGGAGTACAAGCCCCCGACACCGACACTGACTCCGATTCCGACGCCGGAGCCATCGTACGGGCCACCGGCGCCGAAGCCACCAGCTCCGCCGGTGGAGGACGAGCCGCAGCCGTTCTTCCACAAGCACCCGAAGCTCAAGTTCATGCACAAGAAGAAGCCGTGCCCGCCGCTCGTCGACGTGGACATTCCCCGGCCCAACAACTGAGCTGCACGCGACACGACGCAGCAAAGCTCGATCTAATTAAGGATGCCGTCGAGTCGTTGTAGTTTGTGTTTGTCACGTCGCAGTTTTCGTTAGTGTTTTGTTTGGTTTGGTTCGTGCTGTTTGTGCTGGCATTGCAGTTTCAGACTTTCAGTTCGTTGCTTTGTTTGTGAAATAAAGATTGTGGTCTATTCAGAGGGTATCGATCTCTCTAGCCCAGAGTTCTTAATTCCATCGTCTATGACCCTGGATGTTATACAAATCTAATGGTTAATCAGAAACGCTATCGATACAAATCCAATGATCCAGTACTTGTTACGATCTGAAGAGACACGATTGGCGCCAATAAAGCGATCCTTAATTCCACCGTGTCAACTGGTTTAATGTTGACCGTACTGGTGTACGGCACGCTGCGATTTGGGGGAGCAACAAGACATGGTGGTTCTGGCGATTAATGGCCGTCATCAATGGCTAAATTAGCTTTGCTGCAATGAACATGGAAACTTTCCAAACTTCACCGGAATTTTTCCGAACAATTCTCGAGAGGACGATCGATGCAAAGGGGGAGTTGGCTGGAAAGAGTAGATCTCAAGCAATGACGGCCACATTGATGTGCAATCTGCAAATCCGGCGCCAAATTTACCCGCGCCTTCACTCGTGTGACCTAGTAGTACAGTGTAATTAACGGGCCACGCGCTCCGGTTCGTCCGCGACGCCTACATAAACCTACGAGCCGCGCCACTTCTTGCTCCCCCACCCATCCACAGTGTTTGGTCTTCTTCCTCCTTGATCACTCCGAGCAATTGGTAAGAGTTCCATAATGGAAATCCTACCTCGACAGCTACTGCTCGGTGTCTGCGGCGCCGTCGTGCTGGTGGCCGGCTTGGCGCATGCTGCGTACGCAGGGACAGCGCCGGTCGTGGTCGGCTTGGCCATGTGCTCGGGTTGCACCAGGAAGAACATGAATGCCGAGGCAGCTTTCAAAGGTATACCCATCAATTTGCTCACTGTTAGCTAGCTAGTAGAGGCATAAGGCATTGATGATCTAAATTGCGTGTTTATAAACTGGAAACCAAAATTGATACATGTAGTCAAACGTGTAAGTAGATCCAACACGATGAGTGACTCGAAGACACGATATTTGTTAATAATCCAGCCAAAGCTAAACCCTGGGACACTGATCACAATCGCTCCTCTCCAAACTTGCATAATTATTAGTACGTATTAAAGCATCATCAACCATTAAACGGCTAGAAAGTTCGATTATTACGGCTCCACGAGACCTACCATGTGACTGATTTTGTACACACATTCGACATGAACTCCAACATAATGTGGTTAACATGTGTCAGGTCTTCAAGTGGCTGTCAAGTGCAAGAACAGCAGGGGCGAGTACGACAAAATGGCCGTGGGGAAGGTGGACAAGTCCGGCGCCTTCAGCGTCCCCCTCGCCGCCGACCTCGTCGGCGAGGACGGCGTGCTGAAGCAGGACTGCTTCGCGCGGCTGCACAGCGCGTCGAGCGCGCCCTGCCCGGGGCAGGAGCCCTCCATGATCGTCGCGGCGCAGCAGCCCGGCCACGACGGCGCGAAGACGTTCGTGGCGCTCGCCGGCAAGGTGCACCGGCCGTCGGCGGAATGCGCCTCCGCGTTCCTGTGCGATCCTTTCCACAAGCACCACCACCACATCGTCCTCCACCCGCCCGTGATCGTTCCTCCCAAGCATGACCATGATCACTCGCTCCCGCCAGTCCACGAGCCTCCGGTGACCGTGCCCGACCACAAGCCGGCGCCGGTGACCGTTCCCGATCACAAGCCGCCGTCCACGACGACGCCGGTGTACGCGCCGCCGAAGCCGACCCCGATCTACGGCCCTCCAACCCAGCAGAAGAACAAGCACTAGAAAGTTCGATACGGGCTGTAAACTGAAATGCATGGTAACATTCAGTTTCGCCCCGTCAGGTCATGCGGTTTCTAATTCTACCCAATAAAGTTTGTGAGGACGATGATTAGATTGGCATTGTTGCGTTTCATTAGCTGGGTACGTACTACATAGCATTAGATTCCATGTTGCTATGTATGACTTCTTTGAAGTACAATGTATGTAACGAATATGTTGTCATGATTTGTCTAGCCGCTCACTTACTCTTGGTCAATTATGTTTTGCTCCTCATTGCTTGTCCGTTCAGGCAGCAGCCACTGCAATGAGCAGAATGTGGAGAAACCCTACAGGTACGTACATCCTTGTCACATGTACTCATGGTTGATAGGGAAGGAGGTAGCCCTGTGCATAACTGCATTAAACATGAACGCAATAGCTGTGAGCACATGTTGCAACCACAAACAGAGACACAGACACAGAAAATAGATTTCTACGTCAGGGACGAAAGTTTCAGTCGGATCAACATTTGGAGCTGAAGAATACTTACATCCAAGCACATCTAACAGCTAACCAAATTCGGTTAACTTTTTTAAAGAAAACATTATACAATCGATAGTAACCAAAACGGTGATAAGCGATCATCAACTTACCATGGAGATGTAGGGGCCTAATACTCAATTTTGAAAGCAGTGATCTAGAAGAAACTTTACTGCAATGGGTTGCTTCAAACTGTTCACTGGGAAAGTTTGACTGGAACATCATCTTCTCCACTATGAGATAGCTACTTACTAATTTCATCAGATGATCATGCTATAGTCCAATAGTCCTCCCAGACTAAACATATTGTTCATGCGGACTTCATCAACTTCACCGCATGCTGCCTTCTCTCAAGACATCAATCATATCGTAAATTCTTTTGGAATCATTGGAGCGTACCTAAATTAGGAAGACAGTAAGATAAAACGGAATATCCTTGACAACTAAATGTACAATAAGCAATTGCACAAAGTAATATATCAGTAAACCTTCCTATGCAGAAACATTGCGGCATCAACAGATCCTTCAGCATATATTGAACGGCCACAGACATTGTGCTGGAATTCAAATGAAACACTGATAGGGGAAAACATCTAATTAGTAAACCTGAATATAGGAATCCCATTTTGAGGAGGACAATTATTACCTGTCATCGGGAGAAGTGAGATGGTACAGATGGAATGCATGCCCTTCAATATGTTCTTCAGGGACACCCACCATCTCAAGCTGCTGCTCAGGATCCCTAATCTTAACCATCTGCAAGCATAGGAAGTATAAATCAGCATAAATAAGAGTACACTTTTGCTCTTGGAAATATTTATAACAACTAGCAAAGTGATGCTATTGGCGAAAATGACACCTGCCAACTGCCAACCTCTTCTACCATAAGATCTAAACATCTCCTACATTACTGAATGAAAACCTCACTCAACTGAATGCAGCATGGACAGACACAAACTTTTTTTTGAAAGAAACCAAGGGACCATGAAGATTTGGGCAAATATAGAGTAATAAAATATTTATTACCAGCGAAATTGTCAAGTATTTGAAAGCAAGGACAAGGAGGGTCGGGTGCCAACAATATCTGGTTAATGTGGTTCAGTAAGTGTCGAGCATAAAGGTGTATAGCGTACCCGGTTCATGTCATATGACACACCTAACTTCTCAAAACACGCAATTACAGCTTTAGCTGTACCAGATATGTCCAGCTTGCCAGCTTGATGGGATTCCAAAACCTGCAAATTTCAGAATTCACAATTTGAAAATGGCAAATGACAAACAGAAAATTGTGTGGTAATTATTGAAAATAAGTCCCCGGGCAGATCACCAATTGCAAAGCCAGCAACAAAGATTATGTAGTATATCCTTTCAGGTCTACTTTAAGGCCAACTAAAAGATACATTTCTGCTCCCTAAAGTAGAAGCTTAAATCTTTGCCGGTCACATTTTTTCTGAATCTTGAATTCCTAAAAAGGATATTCAGGGTAGAATTGCACCTCCAAATGATAGCCTGAAAAGGCCCCAGGAAATTGCTCAGCCATAATTTCCATTGCAGCAAGAAATGCAACAACCTGATCAGGAAAGGAAATGATAATATTGCTTGATGCTCTCATCACTTTGAAGTCTAATGATGACAGTGGTACGCTTGATAAAGATATCAGATAGTTCATTTTTTATAATACCTGTTTTCCCATCTGTGGAGATATCAGTGCATAGTTATTTGAATCTTGAACTGATTTATAGAGTAACTGCCTATCTCCACCAGTTGTGCCCATAACAAATGGCAAACCGAGCTTGCAATAGAGCTCAGCATTAGCTGCAAAGGTCAGAAGAATCAGGGCTAAAGACAATCTGAAACTGGAATCAGCAGAAGCACATAAAAACCAAACATCAGCGGTTTCCTTTTTGGTTCTTCCTTGGGCAATGGAGGAAAGGAGACAGTCTTTGTACACAGAAAAATAATAACTATCCTCAAGTCAAGAACCCGAGATTTGATCCAACTCAGCAAACTAGTTTACATATCCTAGGGTTTCACGAACTTGCAAGAAGATTAAATGGAATTTCTGCAAGTACAGTTTCATGACCGCTTATGTCATGGGCTTTAGTCATGGGCTTTAGGCCGATAGATTGGACTATAATAGATGAAGAAACAGGGAATGGTCCTGAACCTAAATGGCGCGACGCTCTCCGTCGCACTGAGAAGGCAGGCCGATGGGCACTAAGATAAATCTTGATCTAATGCCTAATTGACCTAGGATAGGAACCCTCCTTATATAGATGGAGGACTACTCAATCTAATCCTAACAAACCTTATCTAATCCTAACAAACCCTAATCCTATCCAATGGGCCTAGGACGCCCGGCCTAAAGCCCATGACAGCTTAGGACAGACGACAACTTACGCTAAGCATGTTACATGGGCATATGCAAAAAAAGGAGAGCAAAAAAGAACAAAGATAAAGATGTTTACCATTCACAGAGTCAGGTGCTGTGTAGTCCACAACAACAACATCTGGGAATTCATCAATAACAGATGATAGAACATCTTCTCTTGCAGAAGGACCATATATCCGAACATCCGTATGACCAACCCGTACTGTTCTGTCTAGCGTATCTCTACTACTGAATGAAATAGGAACTAGGTGAAGACCACTTGAAGTGACTGCCTCAGCCACAGATAACCCCATTTTACCAGTGCATCCATTCACCTACATAATTGAAGCTTCAATTTGTCAGCCTAGCTGGAGTACAAATTTCAATAGCATTTCTAGCCAAAAGAAAAAGTAAGTGGTTGTTTAAATTTGGCAATGCAGCCAAAATGGTACAAGAGGAACTTTAACTGCTGTAATTAGGATATGTGTAGTGTAGCATTATTAATATGCACAAGTTGAGAAACAGAATCACCCTACAGTTGTGCGTCCTTAAAATAAAAAGGTCTGAATAAATATGCTTCATTTCCTAAAATATGAAGTTTTCTCGTTAAAGAACAAGTAGATGGAAACTGCACAATCTAAAGTACTAATCAAGTTGGCCAACCCTCACCAGTTCACCATAAAGAATTACACATGGAGAGTCTGTTGGGCCAGTAATCAACTACAGTTAGGCATGTGTGACTTCTTTATTCTGTTTGGCAGCTATGCTTATGTTCATTTAATGATTGCATCGCAATTGTCTGATCTCTATCCTTCCAATTGACCTAGATAAATAGCAAAAGCATAAGATACTGTCGAGCAGGCTTATCCTCAAGGATTAAAAAGAAAATTTTTGGACATCTATTACAAGTTACGACCTGCTCTCTGTTTGGTTGGCATCGTATAGTCGTATGAAAATTAAAACGAATACAATGTCAAGTGTGACTTCCAAACAAGCCTCCCTTGCAATAAATAAACTCATATGCCAGTCAGACAGAGGGAGAGGGAGGGGAATACCTCCTCCAAAAAAACTCGATTGTGGCCAAGCCTACTAACTCAATGTGCATCACTTAGACAAGGAGCTGGACGGGGAACGACACGCCACAAGCCTATAACGGAGTTTTCCTACCGTAAACTCCGATTTATCCATAATTAAAGGGAAGCAACCACAGCGGCATTTCATCGAACAACCTATGGACACAAAAAAGGTTCAACATCCAACGTACCAGTATCGGGAAAGAGAACCTCGCCGGCGGCGAAACGGCCTCTACGATGGCGGAAGGCGCCGCCACGCTGACGCGCTGCGGGGTCCCCGCGGCTCCGTGGAGGGTGCGCCGTCTCCGCCACGGTGCGGGCGACAGAGTACAAGGCGGCCGCAACGAGAGCATCCTTTGATCTTGTCGCCGCGGCCTGCGGGGTGGCTACCGGATGCGGATAGGGACGTAGCCAACGAACGATTAGAAAAACCGGTTATCTCGAGCGGACTGGATGGAAGTTATCAGGGGATCGTGTTCACCCGTGAGCCGTCCGATGAGAGAGGACCTGGATGAACGATAGAGGCTGGACGCCTGAAACACGCCGAACTCAGTTCACTATACAGAGACCAGGGTTCAGGGCTTCAGGTAATCAGGTTATCCAGGGCCAAGAATAGCTTTGCCAAAAGCCTAAAAAAGGCTTTGCCAAGTCAATGCCCCCCGCTCCCTCCGTCTAAGTGACGCACAATGAAAAGAGCGTTTCTCTAAGATATTCCAATCTCCCGGTTGATCATGCTCATTCATGATGTATGAGCTGCATTCATACGGGGAGGGATTCTAATTAGTCAAGTGAAAGTCCACTCATCTATTGTATGTTAGCTAAATGGTTATACTTTTTTTTTTAAAAAAAAAGATGACGTATAAAAATAAAAATAACAAATTAAACTTTAACTAATATATGAATATTAGTATACGTATAAAATTTGTTTTTCATAACCTCTGCAAGTTGAATATGAACTTACATATATGTGACGTGATATATTACATACTTATATATACTAATCATTCAGTGGAAAGCTCTATGTCACGCTAAGGAGGGCGAGCTGATAGACCTGTTGACTGAGAAGATGAAAAGGGGTGATCAATGTGTTGAGAGACCAGAGAACTGGGATTGGCTTAAGAGTCTTTGTTTTCCTTTTGCTGCTTTAGCAGGATGTTTAGAGTTTTTGGGTTGTTTCCCCTGCTCCTGGTTGCATTCATACTAATCTACCATGTCAATTATTTTTTTTAAAAAAAAGTTACAATCACTTACTCCAAATACAATAAACGAGTGGGAAATGATCAAAAGAATTTCCCGCATACATCATTGAACTAGTGATCTGTGAACCAAACTTGATGAGAAGTTGAGAACATGACCCATCTTCATAATTCCGGTGTTGAGGCCTCTCCACTCTCCAAGCAAAACGGAGTCATCCCAGTGAAGCAGCCAGCCAAGATGGAGCCAAAGCTGCAGCCTGCAGCAGCCACCATAGAAAAACCTCGAGTTGCACGTCAGACAGCGGGCGCAGCACACAGAAAGAAACGGTTGACCCGGCGCGCGGCCCACGGAGCTCCGGCCTTTATTAAAACCGGCCAATCCCTTCCACTACCCAAACCTCCCCCCCCCCCCCCCCCACCACTTCCCACCGTGCAAGTGGCCTCGCGTCTCGTGTCTCCGTCTCCCGCCGAGGCAGGCAGCAACCATGATATCCCCGCGCCCCGCGCTGTCCTCCTCCAGCTTCCTCGCGTTCCGTCCCGCGGCGGCGTCGCCCACGACGAACCCCTCGCCGCCGCCCTCCCCGCGCCTCCACGCCGCGCCGCCGCCGCTCTCGGCCTCCTTCTCCCCGTCGACCTCCGTCGTCGCGCCGGACCACGTGGCCGCCGCCGCCGCCGCCTCGTTCTACGACGTCCTCGGCCTCCACGCGGGGGCCAGCGCGCGGGAGATCAAGGACGCGTACCGCCGCCTCGCACGCGCCGTCCACCCGGACGCCTCCCCGCACCCCGCCGCCGCGTCCTCCGACGACTTCATCCGCGTCCACGCCGCCTACTCCACCCTCTCCGACCCCGACAAGCGCGCCGACTACGACCGCCGCCTCCTCCTCCTCGCCGCCGGGCGCCGCCGCGCCACCCCGTCCCTCGGCCGCTCGCCGACGTTCCCCGCGCGCCGCCGCCGCACGTGGGAGACCGACCAGTGCTGGTGAGGTGAACAACCACCCGCCCGTGTTCCGACGAGCTACACAGAAGCGTCCAATTCGTTGGGAGACGCAAAGATTCCGGCAGCCACTAGGCACGCACACTAGCTTAGCTTGTGGCAGCGCACTACGCTTCTAGAAGAAATGGCCCTTTACTGGTCTTTCACGTCTCGTTGTGAACTTGTAAAAGGAAAATGTATGGTGCGCGTGACGTTCGTCTAGCTTGGAAGTGTCCGCACGTATGACCTGGTGCGCGGTGCTTGATAGCATAGGTTAACTTATACTAGTCCGGAGATAAGGCTGAGAGCCACAACAATAATGGAGCAGAGACCAGGAAGATAGTGATTTGTATGTCTCCTTGCATACTCTTCTTCTTCTTCAGTGTGTGGTGAATGCAGATGGTGTGGGCAGTTTGTGGACTCTGAATGGTTCTATAGTTGGAGTTTTTCTTTGAGAGGAAGGCACCAGATTATCCCATTTCTAAGTCGTCATACCAGACTTTAATATATATATGAACATGCTAGAAGTTGATTCTTCCTTTGTGTATTTCTTTTAGTTGTGGTTGTTGATAAGTGTTCAGTACTACCTCGGTTCTTTTTTATTTGACGGTTAGTTATCTAAGGGTGTGTTTAGTTTCTAAAAAAAGTTGAAGTTTAAAGAAAGTTGGGAGTTTGAAAAAAAAGTTGAAAGTTTATATATGTGTAAGAAAGTTTTGATGTGATATAATGTGATGGAAAGTTGGGAATAGGGAAAACTAAACACGGCCTAAATAGAGGGAGTATAACTTATCGGTGTTCAGTGTTTTTTTTTTTTTGCATGACATCAGCTTCTCTGCTAGTACCAACATTCTAATTGCTTCTCTGCACTGATTTGTCAGTATTGCTTCTGATACCCTTTCAGAAACAAAATTCTTTAGCAAAAGATATGGTGGTTGTCTGTGTCCCTCACCCAAAATATCCAAGGTATCAAAATTGTTCTAGTTTCGCGTCCACTCAGAGCCACTTCATCATTTTGTAGAAGAATTCAGGTTTCAGGAAAAGGGGTTCTAGAAAAGTTTCTGGAGCACAAAAAGAAATCCAGATTATTTTTGTAATGGCAACTGGATCCCACAAATATAAGTGTCTCTCCAAGTAACCAATTAAAAACACTAATGAACTTTTTTGTATAAACGTACCGGTCGATGACGATGACAAAAAGATACCTTTGGGCGTGTTGGTAGTACTGGGGCTCAGTGATAGTTGAACTGTTATACATCACTGGCCATACATGATACCAATAGTTCCGAGTTATCCCGCTCTTTACCCCTGTACATGCAAAGGGAGAGATCGTGATATGGCGGCAAAGCCGTGATATTTTGGACGAGCTGATAAGAATGCGAGCTGGCCTTGCGACTAGGGACGGTGGCGACGAAGGTAGAAAAAACCTGGTGTTGAGGGGGTACTCCAGTACTCCACATCATTGCATCACCAGATCACCTGATCACTGAACTTCTGCACCTTTACTGATTCTGAAACTTGCGACCCTGCGTTAACGAGCAGTGGTGCACTCCGAACGCCTGCATTCGTATAGTCGTCTTTTGATTTGCTGAATTCTTATTCCCAGTTTCCCCCGATTGCTTCACATTGTCCACTTCAAAAATTTGCTTTCCTTACCTCGATACAGATGTCATGTTACCATATAATAACTGAAAACATGGACAAACTCCCTTCCCTTCCAACCACGAGTCCACGACCTCGCTGCCCTCGCGCTGCAATTGCGGCGCCGCGGCCGCTCGCGCCGTGATCCACGAGGTGCTGGATAGTGACACACCGTCACATACTCTGATACTGACATGCGCAATGTGTGATAGAGATCCAGCGCCAGGACCGCGATATCTCACGCGCAGAAGCGGTATTCCTTGTCCCACCCGAGGTTGCAGTTGTTCGTCACCGGCCGCCCTCATTGGTACATCTCAATCTCCCGGCCTCGTAACTGAAGGATTTCCTCTCCCTGCATTATTCTTCTTTGGCATCGTTCTTAGCCGCCTAGATGGGGTACGCCTAATGGGCGGGTGATCGCCCGCCCCTCCCCCTATACAGTCGCTCCCTCCTCTCCCCCCTTCCTTCTACCCTTTTCTTTTCCTACTACACCATAAATATTTAAATTTAAATTTATAATTGAAACGGTTATGTAAATTTTTGACTTATAAACTTTGGGTTTATAAACTAATATTTGAATTCAAATTCAAATTTGAATCGGGTATGTAAACTTTTGACTTATAAACTTTGGTTCTATAAACTTTATGTGTATAAACTTTAGATGTATAGAAATACTATATATAAAAATATTTGAATTCAAATTCAAATTTGAATCGGATACAATTCAAATTCAAATTTGAATTGGGTATGTAAACTTTTGACTTATAAACTTTGGGTCTATAAACTTTAGGTGTATAAACTTTAGATGTATCTAAATACTATATATAAAAAATATTTGAATTCAAATTCAAATTTGAATCGAATATATTTCAAATTCAAATTTGAATAGGGTATATAAACTTTTGATTTATAAACTTTGGGTCTATAAACTTTAGGTGTATAAACTTTAGATGTATAGAAATACTATATATAAAAAATATTTGAATTCAAATTTAAATTTGAATCGGATATATAAACTTTTGATTTATAAACTTTGGGTCTCTAAACTTTGGGTCTATAAACTTTAGGTGTATAAATTTTAGGTGTATAAATTTACTAAAATAGGAAAGTAATACGGTGTCAGAAAAGGAAACATGGAGGGAGGGAGGGGGGAGGGGATGCGATCGCTACCAGATCGCGGTAGCGATCGATCGCCCATTAGATTTTCCGGCCTAGATGCGCTATGCCGAAGTAAACTTGGACTTTTTTTCATACTCAGTAGTAAAAAGTCTACTTATCATCCTTCAACTATAGGTCGAGTTTTATTCATGTCCCTCACCGGCTCAACCGTAAAACCAGGCAATTATAGAACCCCACGACTTCTAATAGTAGTCCAATTTGAGTCGCTAAAGTTGTATAGAGGGGAACGATTTCGACTGATGATACGTCTACATGATTTGTTGACTTGCAATTCACCCCATACGACCCATACGATGTCTATGTGACGCTTACCAGGCACCAACAATAAAGGGCCTGTTTGGAAGCCATGGCTGTGGCTGCGCCACAGACAGCTGCTACCGGAACCCAAGTACCCAACTAGCATTTCTTCTGTTCGGCTGTGCAGCACAGCCGCATGCAGCAAACAGCCAGTGATACCGAACGGAGCCAAAGAAAATAAAAACAACAATAGAATCATTCTGGTTAGAGAAAAAAATATACAAATATATTGTGCCCATGTACAAGTAAGTTCCCAATTTTATATATATATATATATATACATATATATATATATATATATATATACATATATATATATATATATATATATATGGACCCACGTAGCATCACCCTCTCTCCCTCCCGGCCAGGGATGCTAGTGGGCCTACCCACAAACCATTTATAGACAAAATTAGCAGGTAACCCGCGGATTGAATCTTGAGTTACCTGCTAATTTAGCCTATATATGGGTTCACAGGTCGACCCCACTTATATTTTTCTAGGTGCGGCAAGCTAGGCCATGACGCGGGAATCTAGTGTTACTCACTTATTTGATCTATAAAGGCCATGACGCGGGAATCTAGTGTTACTCACTTATTTGATCTATAAGTAGGTTCACAGGTTGATACTGGTAGTATATGCTTAATACTACTTCTGTACAATAATAAGTTAATCTTACACTGGATTTGACTCATCACAATACTATGAATCTGAACAGAAACTTGTCCAGATTTATAATACTAGAATGTGTCACATCCAGTACTCATATAGTCGTGCTATATGAGATGCTATATTTAGTATGAAAAAGGTCCATTTGACATAGAAAGACAACTTTATATTTTTTAAAATTTATAATATAATTAATTTACATGTTATAGACAAATTAATTTACATCTTTAGATCATCTGTACTAAAAGTATATGCTTACTACTATCTCCATTCGAGAATAAGTTAATTTAGTAATGGATATGACACTACCCAATAATATGAATCTCCATAGAAGGAAGTGTCATATCCATTACCAAATTAACTAATTCTGAAACGAAGGAAGTAAGAGCCCCATCGATTGGTCTAATAAGCCAAAGCAAAACCCAAAATTTATTTTTTTTAACTTGATTTTAAGATATTCTCAACATAGTTTCTTTTTAGTGTAGGCTTTTAAATCACTACGAGCAAATATATAAAAGTTTTACCTATAAATTAATTTTTATTTCCTAAAACAATAGTATCGGTGTCTTTTTTTACTCCATCCGTCTCAAAATATAACAACTTATAACTACATGAGATCCTATTTTAACGATTCTGGACAGGAGGAAATCCAACATCATTATACTATGATATGTTTCATCGTAATACTATGTTTTGTGGGGACGGACTAGACTTTCTCCTCAATTAAGGGAGCGTACGGCGTACCAGCATCAACTGCGACAAGAAAGGGAGTTGGAATAAGTTCACCGGAGGTCCCTCAACTTAACAGCGAGATTTTTTGAGATCCCTTAACCACAAAACCAGAAATCTTCACCTCTAAACTATACAAAACCGTACACTCAAAGTCCCTAGGCAGTATATATGGGTGGTTTCGCTGACGTGGCATCCTAGTCAGCCAAAAAAAATTTAAAAAAATACGTGGGGCCCACATGTTAGCTGCACATTTTTTTCTTCTCCTTCCTTCTCCTTCTCTCCTCTTTTCTCTCTTTTCTATTTCTCTTCTTCAGTGAGGGAGGCCGGCGGCAGGCAGAGCAGCGCGCGCGGATGCGGGTGGCACAGCAGAGGGCAAGTGCGGCAGCGGAGCGGCGGCGGGCGCAAGCGCGGCGGGCCGAGCAGTGGAGCACGAGCACGGCCGCGGGCAGAGAAGCAGAGGGCGAGCGTGGCGGCGGGTGGAGCGGCGGAGGGCGAGCGTGGCAGCGGAGCGGAGGTGGGCGAGCGCGGAGGCGTATCCAGCCCACCCTAACCGACCAAAGCACACCCTTTGCCCTCGGCCATAAGCCCCGCCGCCAAGTCGCCATCGCTGTCCTCCCCGTCATCGTCGAGCGGCAGCGATGACTTCGCGATGCTCCTCGACGCGGAGCTCGAGCTCACCTCCGCCGCTGACTCGGCCTCCACCGGAGACACCTCCACCGCCAACGACGACTACGAGGAAGACCCCTCCCAGCCTTCCCTCCTTCCTCCTCGAGCTCCCTCATGCCGGCGCCGGTGCCTGCAGGGATGGGAAGCCGACAGTGCTGGCCGTCGTGGTCAGCTCGCTTGCCGCGGCAACGCTGGTCCCGGCGCTAACCGGTTGATGCGTCTGCGGATCGATGCCCTGGCTCATGAGCTTGCGCTTGATGTGCGTGTTCCACCTGCAGAACCAATCAATCAGCACCAAGAACACAAGAAGAGCTAACCGGAGCAGATGACAACACGTTGAAATTTGTTTTGCTTACTTGT